AAAGTTTTTATTCATCCAAACTGATTGTGTACAATGAAAGCAGCAAATATGCTACTACTTGAAAAAAATATCCAAAACAGAATATACAAAATAGCCACTATGCACAAACTTAACATCACACTGCTATTGTTTCAAGTCCCCAATTGTGTGCAATAGTTGTGGGCAATAGCAATGATTTTGGCTTAACAAAACCCAGAATTTTGCTTCTTACATCAATCTGGATATCATGAATAAGTGCACTCTCTGACTTGAAGACCTGCTGATGAAACGTCCTATTCCTTTCCATCCACACATGGTAGACAGAAGCATTCCATGTTAGCTTGACTACGGTGTGATATAAAGACTTCCTTCGAATCTTCTTACCTAGCCAATGCATTAGACTTTGCCAAGAATCAGTAAGAGGCATACCAATTATAAAACAAAGCTGTTGCCATATATTACTGGTAAAATTGCACTTAAAAAACAAGTGTTCATTTGTCTCTGAACTAGTATTGCAAAGGATGCAAGTGCCAGCAATTGTAGGCGTCCATTGCTTTTGTCTAACTTTTGTGGTTAGCCGATTGAGAATGGCTAGCCAACTAATAAAGCTATGCTTAGGAATGGCTTGATAAAACCAGATTAGCTTGTGCCATGCTTTTCTACTCTGTTTCCTTCTTAGCCAGTTCCAAGTCTGTCTAGCTTTGTAACTTCCTGATGTAGATGGCACCCACAACACCTGATCTTTCTCACTTTGCTTTGGCCAAATGCTAAATAGATGCATTTGAAGTTGTACCAATTGAGGTGACCTAGCGGGGGCCATTTCCAAAAATCTCCACTAATTACACATGCTAGCTTTGCTTGAAAAGCTATCCCTGTATGTCTTACAATAGAATCACCATGAGTCTCTAGTAATGGCCCACAGGGGTGCCAATGATCATGCCAAATATAAGTATCCATGCCATTACTTGGGACATGCTTAATAAGCTTCCTAGCTACTTGTCTCAATTTGAGGATTTTCCTCCACCCCTAAGATGCATTAGCTGGTATATTAACAATCCAAAAGCTTATGCCCTTTAGTAAGTATTCATGGGTCCAAGCTACCCAAATAAATCCTACTCTTGTAAACAGCATCCAAATGAATTTTAATATACAAACTTGGTTCCATAACATCAGATTTTTGAGCCCCAAAGCCACCCTCATGTATAGGAGAACATACAGTTTCCCAATCTACTTTGGCCCTTTTAGCACTATGTGTGTCATTGTTCCACAAAAAGGCACTGCAGATTCTCTTCACTTCCCTTATGACCCCTTTTGGCAAAATAAAGACAGAGCACCAAAAATTAGTGATGCCTTGAACAACCGAAGATATCAGTTTTAATCTTCCCACAAAAGAGAGATGTTTTGCAGCCCATGAGGTCATTCTCCCAGTTATTTTAGAGATCAGAGGTTAAAGATCATGCTTAGTCAATTTCCCTGTAATTAGTGGGATTCCTAGATACCTCATTGGCAAGGAGCCAACCTTGAAACCAAACTTCTTAGTAAGCTGCTTAATGTGTGTTTTAAATAATCCGCAGCAAAATCATTCTGATTTGGCATAGTTAACACGTAACCTAGAAACTTCATAAAATTGCCTTAAAACAGCATCAATCACATCAAGTGACGTCAAACTACCATAAAAACAAATTATTAAATCATCTGCAAAACACAAATGCAGAAGTTGCACCTTTGCACATTTAGGATGGTAGGCAATTTTTCCCTCCTCTGCTGCCTTATTTAATAACTTTGAAAGAATTTCCATACAAATCACAAAGAGGTAGGGTGATAAAGGATCCCCCTGCCTGATACCCTTCTTACCAGGAAAGTAGCCACACAAGTTGCCATTGAAAACAACTAAGAACATAGGTGTGGTCACACAAGCAGAAAGCCAATTTATAAATTTGTTAGGGAACCCCAGGGATAACAAAATCTAAAAAATAAAATCCCATGAGGTTGAATCAAATGCTTTGATCAAATCAATCTTCAAGGCACATCTAGTGCTTAAGCAACTCTTATGATAGTGCTTTACAATTTCCTGGGCCAAAAGAACATTTTCAACCATTAGTTTGCCTTCCACAAAAGCGCATTGGCTTCTGCTTATAAAGAGGGGTAGACATTTCTTGAGTCTTTCAGCCAAAATCTTTGTGATGAATTTATAAAGTAAATTGCAGCAAGAGATTGGCCTGAACTCAAACATTTTGGTAGGATTTTAGACCTTTGGAACCAAGGTTATCAACGTAGAGTTCAATTCCTTTAGTATTTTCCCAGTTGTAAAAAATTCCTGGATAGCTTTTATCACCAAATCACCTACAATTGCCTAGGAGGCCTTAAAAAAATTTTGTTATGTATTCATCAGGCCCAGGTGCCTTATTTCCAGGGTTGTTGAACACAACAACCTTAATTTTTGTTGCAATAACCGGTTGTGTAAGCAAAGTACATAAATGCTCTAGCAATTGGAATTGCAGCAAGTCTTTGAGCCATTGACTATCCACCTTTCTGCAATTCATATCTTGTGTTCCCAACAAATTTTTGTAGAATTGCACAGCTTTAGCCTCCATGTCAGGTAAGGCTATAAGTTTCCTTCCATCCATTGTAGTGAGCTCAGTGATTGTATTTTACATCCTCTTTATTTTTACCACTTTATGAAAATATGCGATATTGCTATCGCCTTCTTGCAGCCATTTAACCCTTGATTTCTACCTAAAGAAAGACTCCTCAGCAAGTTGCAAAGCTGCTACTTTATTGGCCTGCTCATGCTCAACTTGTATTAAATCTTCACATGGGTTAGCTAATAGATCAAGTTGCAGCATGTGTAACTTATCTTTTTCTTGTTGCAATCTGTTTGTATGTCCTCATAGTGATCTGTATTCAACTTTTTCAAAGCTGGCTTTAGGACCTTGAGCTTTTTACAAAGTTCGCACATGGCATGACCTTTTTACAAAGTTGAATTTCAAAACTTTTATTGATCTTATTTTGACATCTACCAAAAAAATGTTTATTTTATAATTGGCAGAGTATAGAGATTACTTATAAATATTGCAACCCATCATTAAAAAAAAAAAAA